TTCCAAAATTCAGCATCACAAGTAAACCCTGATTTTTCACGGTATTGCTCTGGAATTGAGAGGGATTATATCACAACTTGAATCAAGCTCGTTCTTGGACTCCACAAAATTCATGAAGCTGTGCAAACGGGAGGTGTAGAGAATGCTTACTCGATGGCATCCGTCGCTTTGGAGATCAACTCCACAATTGAGCTACAAGGGAAGGCGGACAATGGAAGGGGCAACCACCGTCGGCCATCGAAGTGGCGCTGACCATGACCACTCGCACCTCTTCTTCCATGATAGCCATCGCCGCCTTCCCGCCTCCAGCATTCTCCTCCATCCAAGCCCTCCGTTTGCAGCGACGGGGGGGTGAGGCTACAGCCTGTTGATGTGATTGTATAGATAGGAGGAGCTGCTGCTAGGGTTCGCGAGCGAGGTCTCGTGAGACAAGAGATCGAAGGAGAAGAGAGAAAACAGTAAGGGGTCTGAAGAGGAAGAGGACAGGGCGAGTGAAGGGCACAGACACGGAAGCCGATGCGCAGCAGGAGCTCGCCGACGGGACGGAGGACGGCAGCGGCGCATCTCATGCGAAGGAAGCAGTAATCCAAGGGATAACGCTGGCAACACAAACCTAGGCAAAGTTTCTTCTTCTTCTTTGAGATAGAAACCTGAGCGCGACCTGGCCTGGGCGTTTCACGGCCCGATTACAGACAGGAACGGGAGCTCTTTCTGCGGAGCAGCGGCCCGCAAGACGGTGCGGAAAGCGCTTGAAGGACCTAGGGACGATCTACATCATACAATAGAGCGATCCAATGGCTGCGAGGTCCAAATCGTCGTGGAGAGCCGTAGCTCGCTTAGCTATACTGTTTCTTAATTCCAAACTAATCCTCCCCTCCCCCCTTGATATTCAATGGGGGTGGGCCCCTCATCATAATTCTATCCTATCAAAGTATTCCAATCAACCCAGTCCGTTGATCCCGTAAAAAAGAACCGTGCGTGTAGCGTTGCTCGTATGGATGGAGGGATCATCGTCGAAAAAATAAATGAAAATCGGAGCACGAGATCCTTTGCTCGAAAAAAATACTTGAACAAAGAAATGGTAACTAAATGAAAATGATTATTCACCCACGAATACTTTTTTTAAACAGAATACTCACTAGTTTAGTTATCTAAACACTCTTATATTTCTTCGCGGAGGGAGTACTTTATTAAAACAACAACATATACTTTTCAGGTCACCTAATTTTTTACATGGGGTGTTGTGCTATAATTTTTTCCCATTTTGTCTCTTCACGGAGACCTGATAAAATTCTTTGTTTTTAGGGAAGAGAGAGAGAGAGAGAGAGTAATTCATCTCTAAGCCCGCGCACAACTATAATTTTTTTAAAGTAATTAAATTTTAAAAAAAATCTTATTTTCCCATGCAAGATGCTTGAACGCGTCATGTGCGTGTAAATTTCGTGGGTAAATGACGTTCAAAGAGCTCGTGGCAAGAAGATAAAATGAGCTTCGAACAATTAGTTTTCTCAAACTTCCCCACATGCCCGATTTCTTTGCTGAGAGATACTCCAACATCCAAACACCACCAAATTTGGTACGAGCATCATGCATTCAAGAATCTTGCATGCCAAAAGAACATTTTATTTTATTTTATTTCTCTTTTTTTACTTTACTGTTCATCCGTGAGAGCACCTCGACCCAGGAGCCAAATCGTCACATACACACACAGAGATAGCGCTTCTCCATTGGTTGTTAAGTTGTAACATTACGCATCACTCAATGTGGATACAAAACAATAATCCAAGTATCAATCTAGTATAACGAATAATGCCAAACGTACTAAATACAATCTTAAATGAATAAGAGATAATACCGAGGTCTCAAGACACTCTGACTTGCAAGCACACTTCTACGACATGAAATTACTCCATCGCTGAGATAACCTGCTTGCCGAATTTGCATGGAATATTAGGGATCCAATACCTCCAGTCTTCACCGATCAACCCAACACGACCTCGCTGTTGGTTGTCGCTCTTGTTGATGTCATCCACTCGCCCTTTAGGAGAAGGGCCTGAGGCGATCTAACAGAAGAGTGAATCTAGGGTCTCGCCAACCCGATCTCAAAGTAGAGCATGAACCACTCTCGTTAGCATACATCAAACATGGAGGCCTTCGCTCCAGGTGACACCTAGCCCATCTCCATAAACCTAGTACATTTCACTTTGTGGTTCTCGCTCCAGGTGAAACCAAAGAATTTTTTCTCTTATCCTAGCCAAGGGGTTATCTCTTGGAACAATGTCTTCTTTCAAATGCTTGCGAGCATATATGACTAATGCAACTTCCCTACAACAAGCTCTTGATGTGTACTGCAACAATTCTGCCCAGTTAGTGAGTGTGGCAAAATCAAGTGTGTTTTCTCAATCCTAATATAGATCATGCCATGAAAAATGATATTTGCGCATGCCTTAATATTGTTACAGAAGCTTTATATGATTAGTACCTTGGGTTACCAGCCTTGGTTGGAGCAAACAGGAGTGACTGTTTTAATCATTTTGTTGAAAGTGTGTGTTCACAGACGGATGGGTGGAATGAGAGACAATTATCCACCGAAGGGAAAGAGATCCTGTTGAAGTTGTGGCTCAGGCAATTCCAGTGTATGCTATGTCATTGTTTAAAATCCCCAAGGGTATTTGCAAAGAAATAAGAGACACAATTGCTAGACTCCGGTGGGGAGATGATGAAAGTAATAATAGAATGCATTGGTGCGCATGATGCCAACTATTCTTCCCTAAGAAGGATGGTGGAATGGGGTTCCGTGATCTTCATTCCTTCAATCTGGACATGTTAGCTAAACAAGTTTGGGGGCTCCTGGATGAGCCAGAGTCATTATATGCTAGGATCCTCCGAGCTAAATACTATCCCTCAGGTGATCTTCTATCAGCTAGACCCAAAAAGGGGTCTTTACATGGCAAAGTATCGTTGCGAGCACTCAGACTTTCAAACATGGTCACATTTGGAGAATTGGAACCGGTGAAAAGGTTAATATTTGGGAGGATCATTGGATACCTTCAAGCCCTTCAAGGAGAATTATCACACCAAGGAATGGGGTACTTATCACAAAGGTTAACGAGTGATTGATCATGAACAGAGAAATGGGATGAGGAACTCATACGAGATATTGTTAACCCAGTAGACGTCAATTGCATCCTATAGATTCCCGTAAATTACCACTTTTTCGAGGACTTTTTTGCTTGCAATGGTTCATCTTTGGGGGGTTTTCTCTATAAGATCAGCATACCATTCTGAGTGGAGCCACCAGTTTAGAAACATTGATCATTTGGTGGGACCTGCAACTCCTAATCCAGTCTGGTCAATTATATGGAAGCCGCAAATTATTGGAAAAATTAAGATAATCTATTGGAGGGCTTTACATGGCATATTACCTCTTAACAGTATTCTAACCAACATGCATGTTGAATCAACTGATCATTGCCCAATTTACTCATAGGGACCAAAAGATGTTATGCACTTGTTGTTCGGCTATGCTCGCGCCGAGGAACTATGGAGGCTGTTGGGACCGTCGTAAATAATCTCCAAAGCCACCACCAAAGAAAGGTATTGGTCGATTGTACGTGAGCATCTGTTGTGTCTTCCTGAGTCCAGTATGCCAAACATGATATTAATCGGGTTAAAGGAAGGAATCTGTACAACGTGTTGGTATTTGTGGTCGATGAGGAGGCAGCAAATGCATCACAATAAAACTTGCTTAGTCCCACGAAGTGCAATGGCCATCCAGGCCATTTGCTAAACTTTTGAGAGATCCCTTATGCTGAAGAATGGCCCGGTTATTTGTAGGGTTAGGAAGTGGTCGAAGCCAATTCCGGGTATAGGTAGGTAAAGTAAATGTGGATGCATTGTTTTTGGCCAATGAGTTGAGAGGATCCACGAGTGCGGTCATCAGAGATGAATATGGGGTCTTCTTGGCGGCCGCATGAACCCCCCATGTTTTTGGTTGATGCCTTGGCAAACGATACAACTATTTTACCAAATCAATAAAGTAAGCCAGGGTGACATTCCCTAAAAAAATTGCTTGAAATGTCATTCCTTTTTTGTGTGGCGCCTTTCATTGATTGATTTAATTTTAATCATCACAAATGATGGCAGCATTGGTTGCAAGAGATGATAGTACTAAGAAGAGGTGGGATATTTTGAGAAATTGTCCTCTCCAAATGTAACGTGACAAGCATCGTCACATCGACCAATGTACAATGCCCCAACATGCATTACTTATATTCCATCTGGTTATTTGATTATAGCATAATTGGTAGTATCTCATCTTAGCTGCCTCCAGCGGATCACAGATGGGTAACTTTGGTTGATTGATTATTCCATTCCGTCGTGCAGCTTTAGTTGCCAATGCCTTGCACAAGCAGTAAGTAAAACTTTTCCTCATCGACACAGATCCAAAACGTGCGTCCACTTGGCGCGGCCACATGCATTGTGTTCTACACGTACTATAGTATGCGTACTGTACTCATATGCGGCACGATCCCATTCCGATTTCCTTCCCTTTTCTTGAGAATTGACCGATCCAATTCCGATCCCGGTTTACTACTTATCACCCTAAACAAACACGGGTTAATCAAGCGATGACGATCGCGGAGCGGATTAGCGCGTCATCCCGAGCCCGAGCGCGCTTGGGGCCCCACCCGCGTATATAACACGGGGCTTTATTGGTAGCGCCACATATATATCGCCCCCCGGAAAACAAACCATCGGAGTTCGGGGGATCCATTCCATACCAACGAGCGACGGGAGGAGCCAAGGAGGCATTGGTTGGAACAGACGCCGACCACTTCGTTCCCCTCCCCAACCCAACCAGAGAGAGAGGAGAGAGAGAGAGGAAGAGCGAGCCCGACCCAGGCCCCCCTCGTTCCCACCGGGCGAGAGAGAGAGGAGGGGGGAGGGAGGGAGAGAAAGAGGGGGAGCCCTAGCCCTAGCCGGCGCCGGCGGGGGCGATGGCCGCGGCCGCGCCGGCGATGCGGGCCGGGCTGGCGGTCCTGGCGGCCTTCTTGTTGTTGTTGGCCGCATCGGGGGCGGGGGCGGAGGGGGCGGAGGGGGCGCTGCCGAGGTTCGCGGAGGCCCCCGAGTACCGGAACGGGGAGGGCTGCCCGGCGGCGGTGGCCGGCGCGGGGGTGTGCGACCCGGGGCTCGTCCACATCGCGATGACGCTCGACGCGCACTACCTCCGGGGCTCCATGGCCGCCATCTATTCGCTGCTCAAGCACGCCTCCTGCCCGGAGTCGCTCTTCTTCCACTTCCTCGCCGCGGACGGCGCCGAGCCCGGGGTGGGCGAGCTCCGGAGCGCGCTCGCCGCCTCCTTCCCGTCGCTGCGGTTCGAGATCTACCCGTTCCGCGCCGACGCCGTCACGGGGCTCATCTCCGCCTCGGTGCGCGCCGCGCTCGAGGCGCCGCTCAACTACGCCAGGAACTACCTCGCCGACCTGCTCCCCAAGTGCGTGCCGCGGGCCATTTACCTCGACTCGGACGTGCTCGCCGTCGACGACGTGCGCCGCCTCTGGGAGACGCGCCTGCCCGCCGCCGCCGTCGTCGCCGCGCCCGAGTACTGCCACGCCAACTTCTCCCGCTACTTCACCGACGCCTTCTGGTCCGACCCGGACCTCGGCGAGCGCGTCTTCGCGGGCCGCCGCCGCGCGCCCTGCTACTTCAACACCGGCGTCATGGTCATCGACCTCCGGCGCTGGCGCTCGGGGAACTACCGCCACCGTGTCGAGCAATGGATGGAGTTGCAGAAAGAGAAGCGAATCTACGAGCTGGGGTCCTTGCCCCCTTTCTTGCTCCTCTTCGCCGGCGAGGTGGAGGCTGTCGACCATCGGTGGAACCAGCACGGCTTGGGCGGCGACAACATTCTTGGTAGCTGCCGCCCTCTCCACAAGGGCCCTGTCAGCCTGATGCACTGGTCAGGCAAGGGCAAGCCATGGGATCGCCTCGACGCCGGCAGGCCTTGCCCGCTCGACCATACTTGGAAATCATACGACCTCTACATTGGCGACGGTGATGCATCGCAAGCATCGGCGCCGTCCTGGGCCTCATTGTCATCATCGGCGTTGCCCGCGGCGGTGTTTTCTTGGTAGACAGAAATGGGACACACGATATAATTTTTTCATTTGGTTGTGGTAATGCAATTGCCTTGCGATGCATATCCACTGCCATCGCAGCTGCCGTCGCAAGCCGGCTGCCGCCTTCGGCTGTACAGCGAGAGGAGGAGGGGCGGTACATTGCAGCGGCTGCGACGAGAAGAGGAAGAACAGTGCATAGGGGAAGCAAATTCTTGTTCATTCACGATACAATTCGGATTGATTCATTATGCTGTGAGTCGGAGGTGGTGACTAGGGGGTGTTGGAATTACATTATTGGTGGTGTACAATTCTTGGATAGAAGAAAGGTTTCACTTTTTTTGTCTGTTAGTTCAGGATTGTTTCATTTACATTTACATTTACATGTTTGTTCAGTAAACCAGTATAAATATTGATTGACTTGATTTCAATAAAACAGGGTGGATCTTATTCTTGCTTCAGTGCTAAACTCTCTTGTATCATCTGGCACTCCATTGATGCAGAAATTCCATCGAGAATGGCTTAATATCTTGTTATTTCCATCTTTTGATAATGGCCAGTTTTTGCTGTGGCTAGTTTGCTTTGATCAGTTCAACCAGAATGGCCTCATATATTGCTGTGTTATTTCCATCTTTCGATAGTGGTCAATTTTTGCTGTGGCTAGTTTGCTTTGATCAGTTCAACCAGAATGGCCTCATATATTGCTGTTTCTATTTGACCTACTAGCTCCATACGCTAGGTCCAAATTTATTGCTGTTTTTCTACTTGTTCGTCCAGAATTGCCTACTTTGTTCATCCAGTATGGCCTTATCTATGTCTGTTTCAGTTTTGCCTACTGATGCTTCTGTTTTGCCTACTTGTTTCATCCAGCATTGCCTGTCTGTTCATCATCTAAGAAGGCCTAATCTGCTTTTGTTTCTGTTTTGCCTACTTGTTCTTCCAGAATTGCCTAGTGCATTGTTGATTATTTAGTTTCAGCGGTTGTCTGTTCCGTATGTTTGTTCTAGTATATAATTGCTTATCTGTTTCGTCGACGAGAGTTTACAAGAGTTGTTGCTGTTTTTCGGGTGTTTTTGCTCAGAATTGGTGATGGCAGTTCCTTGACTTGTAGAGATAAGCGGAAGAAGCATCAGAATACCAATCTTTACAGATGTGTGGCACACCTGCACAGCTTGAAAGAAAGCAAAAGGGGCAATATTATTGTTGTTGGTTAAGATCAACTTTTATATCGGAAAGCGATTAGCGCGAGCTACACAGGATAGGGACCTCCCAACAGACTCATAATGCAGGGGATTAATACTGCTAATACGCTAACGAATCCCAACTAGAACTCCACTAATACATGTAGCCGCCCTTTAAATTTCTGTTAGATTCTTGGGAGAGAACAGCAGGAATATAGGAAATTAAGCTCAACCGAATCATCCTTTTTTCCTTCTTCTGCGAGGGAAGTTGAATTATTTGAAACCTGGGACAAGCATTGGTTTGCCAAAGGCTGTCTGTCTGGTGTCAACATCTGAAATTGCAGCAGCAGCAGCAACAAGAGCATCTCGATTATTGGTATGCTTTCTTTGTGGAGAGATGATTGATGAGACTGAAATGTAGCAGCACAAGAGTTATTGGCCATGATCAGCACCATGTTCTGGCAATGGTTTTGTAAGCAGCTGGACACCCTCCCCTTCTGAAGTCTCCGAGCTGTGTTGCCTTAACCACAGGGTACCGAACATCGGCCGCCCGATTCCCCGATCGGACGGCCCTCGGTAGCCGCGGCCACGTTGCTGGCGTTGCTTTACACATACACGACACATCGCCCAGGCTGGAGGCCGCCGTCGACCAGCTGGAGGGCGAGGCGAGTGGTAGTGGCGCGAGCTCATGATTGCGTGTGCGTGGGTATTCATATTCTCTCGTTTTTTGGCCTCTCGCTGCTTTGTTGCTGCTGCTTTCTCCATCTTGCGAGTGAGATGAACTCCACCACCTACTGGCCGCTCGCCACTGGCCGTCAACCACCCTACCCGACCCCTATTCAATTCCCTCCCTCCTTCCCACATGCTCCATGGCCGTATACTATGCCATGCGTCCATCCCGAGGGAAGAACCAACACGAGATAATTGGTTTTTATTTCGGTCGTGCCGATGGGCACTGCTCAACGAACTTGGTGGCAGTACGATCGGCCCCTTTTGCAGCCTCGTGCGTGCGTGCAGTCTCCGTCGGACCGTCGATCACCGTTGCTTTGCTTTGTGCCTCGTGCACGAAGGTTCTTGCCACTATCGTCGCCGGCAGGTTGGTGCCGCGGCAGCGCGCAGTGTCGGCCACCGGATATGGCCCGGCCCGTGGTGGGGAGTTTCGGTGGATCGGCGCGGCGACCGATCGGGTGGTCCGGCAGGGCTCTTTCAGGTTCACGACATGCCGCGGGTATCCAGAACTGGAAGGCGACGGGGAGGGTGGGCGCTTGGCTAGTGGCGATCGTGGTCGTGGCAGCTGCTGCCTGTTTGTGAGTGACACCGGACGGGCCCGTGTTTGGTTAGGGTGGTTAGGGGGAGATGGTCCGTTGCAGAGGGAAGCATAGGCTGCAGAAGGCGCCAAACCGTATGGGACTAGGCTGGGAGATTAGTATATAACGAACTCAAATGAGATGGACGCCTAATGAGAAGACGAACCACCGCCGCAGGGCATTGGGTGGGCCGCCGTGGCCACCGAAGCTGCCGTCTGTTATCCTATGTGGCGATCGGCGTTAAGTGGCATGATTGTTGTGGCATAGCATCAGCAGAATAGAGAGGGTTTGTCAGTGACCTGGGTTCTCTGTAGTCTGTACCATGTCGTATGAATAGGACTAATGAGAGAAAAGCATAGTAGAGCAGAAATAAAAAAAATAAACATTATTATATGCATGTCATATTTTGTTCGCACCTGTAACTTTACATACATGTTGCTGAAATGAGTGTCCTTCTAACAGCTCCCAACTACTGCTTCTTGTAGCAATGTATATAACTGTATTAAAGAACACAGGAACAAAAGAGGAGAGCCGGCCGGGCTATCCGAGGGCGAGAGGTTTGGAATGTCTTGCAATGATTCGCGTGGACAGCAGACATTGATGATCAACTGAGTTGGTTAAGCAACGAACGAGAATCTTTTTTACAGCCCGGTAGGCCACCTAAATGCGTGCTGGTAGCTAACTCCCCGCGAAAAAGGGAATAATTATCGATGCCAGGGTCAGTAGCGCACGGCCGTCCTGGCCTGCATTCGTTGCACCAAACTGAAAGTCCTATCCCTTGTAGTCTTGTGATGAACGAGAGAGGCTGTGCAACGAGATGGCGTCAAGTTTCCAAGGGCATAGGACAGGTTTGGTGAGGTGTCTGGTGTGAGTTTCAGAGCCTACCTAGCTCACTTTGCTGTGACAAAAATGAACATGGGGAAAGAGATGGTCCTGAGTTGCCTCAGTATCTGAAATGGTGGTGGAAAATAAGCAAGGTGTTGAAATCACGCGTTGAAATCGGATCCGATACTCGGGGTGGAGGCCGGGGCACCCTTGCCTTGCTTGGCACCGAAGTTTGTGGAATATGCGGAGATGCGAACCTTCACGTTCCAGTACTGGTCCCGCGGAACAAATCAAACTTGACAATTCGGGGAATAAAGGTCTAGAACTAGGGGGAATATCAACAACGAATCGAAGGTTGGAGAGCGTTGGCAACAGCAGCGCGTCGTCTCTCGTCAGGTCCAACCACGGGCATCTTCAGCCGTTCGGCACCAGAGGGATTGAAATAGCGTCTCCTAGGTGCTAACCAACACTATTTTCACCATGAGGGCGCTCGGGTTTCCAACCGGCGCCCCAAGTTGGCCCCAAACGCCGTTTTTTCAAATACAAATTCGGTTAAATTTCCAAGAAAATGACACGAATTTGAACAAAATTCAGGCAATTTTCATTCATACTTGTACAAATTTAAAGACATAATAAAAAACTTAAAAACCTACGCCTCTGCCGCCACCTCGAGCCGATTTTTTGTCCAAAAGGACCCCCTGGCCAACGGAATTGTCAAAAAAGACTACCCGTGAATAGATTTGACAAAAAAGACCCCTTGGACCATGGCGGCAGGTGCAGCAGGGACACGTGGCACCTGCCGCCACGCCAGGAGGCGGCGGGACATGCCGCCACAACAGGAGGCGGCCGGCCGGCGAAACGGATTACGCACAGTGCCCCCGAGCCGTGACGGAACGGGCCAGGCGTTGTGGGCCACGCCGCCACTAGACCAGGCGGCCACCCCTGGCGCGGTCGCTGGCGGGCCGACAGCCTCTGCTGCGCCCGGGCCCCGCCAGTGGGCCTCGCCGCCACAGCCGGAGGCGGCCTCCTCCTGGCGCGCTGGCTGGCCGATAGCCTCTGCTGCGCGCGCGCCGAGGCGCGGCCAGGCCGCCACTGTTGCTGGCGGCATCATTTCTTATGCATGCGCGGGAAAACAACACTGATTCCGTGACTGACGACGCTGATTTTGATACAAACTTTGCTCATTCCGATGATTCAAAAATTGATGCTGATAGCCTGCTTTTGCTTGTTTTGCTTGAGTCATGCGCGGCGACAGGTTCCCTGTTGCAGACTTAGCCAATTCCCACGCGCGTGCTGGCTATTGCTTGAGAGGACGCGACGGCACTGCAGAAATACACTCACTCGTTGCGGGAATCCGAGGTTCCCAGTTGTGCCGACAATATAGGGATTCTAAAATTTCCCGCCTAATTTCCTCGCCATCATTTATCGTCTGAGCCTATAAAAGGAGACATCGAGGCTCTCGTCCAGCCATCCTCGAAATCACCAGTACGCAAAGTGTGTAACACATTTTTTCAGTCGGTATGAGTTTGCCTTGTTCGGATCAAAGCATTAGGCCGAGGAAAATAAAGAATGCAAGTTTGCCTCCGGGGGTGGCAGTCCTGCGGTGTTGGTGTGGCGATCTTTGCAAGGTGAAGGAGGTGACGGATTTTTCAGATTGGTTGGGCATGAAGTTTTTCATGTGCGCCAATTATGAGGAAGATCCTGC